GAGTTGCAACCAGAGTCACGGAACAGATTAAGTTCGTATCCCGAGGTACCACTGTATTTTAGGTTGTTGATTGTTATGTTTTTAGAATTGTAAGCCACCTAAAATCCATGGAGTAGATAGCATTTAAAAGTCCACACTAGCAAATAGATAAATGTGGTTGGGTTGGTTTTGACTTAGTACGGTGTTTGATCTCATCCACTGTGTCTGTAAACCCAGCCATCAGGGCTTAGTTAACAAACCACAATGAAAGAAAGTATACTTAAGTGCACTGTGTGAACACAGCCACTAACTCAAATTGAAATATCTGTGTTTTTTAAAAGTAAATAGGCAGTGGAAGAGAAAAGATAGGAGGGAAGATAGGTGAGCAAGGAGAGGTAGCTCTTGGGTAACTGTTCTAACAAGAAAACCAATAGCGTCCAAACCGTGACCTTCAACGCCTCTGCTGTTTCACCTCCTATTTTATCCGAGGCCTGCAATGCCATAAAAGAGATGAGAGTTGCAATCTTTGTAACACAGAATTTCATCCCAACAGGAAGGCAGGCCTTGTACAGAGAAATAAATATGTACCGTACCTTCAAATCTAGTCCTCTAGTCTGCCTACAACAGGATACCATGTCCAGGTTTTCACATTCTGGTAAACCATTCTGGCTTCTTTGGTTTTGGTGTGCTGTGTAGAGTGAATCCAGCTAATTGTTGTTTTACAATAAACTATTATTAAAGGACCCATGGTTTATTATGTTGCATAAACCAGTTTGTTTTAGTGTTTGAAGTCTCTTATTTTTTCTTACAGTGGGCTGGAGCAGACAATCTTCTAACTTCAGCAACAGAACAAATGAGGATAATTTTCAGTTATTTAACAAAAAAAACCAAACAAACCCCAGTCTGTTGAACTAGTAGAACTTAAGTGGCTTAGGGGAAGTATTAAACATGTTCATATTCTGCATGGACTATAGGAACCTAACTGGAGCTGATTCAGAATCTTTTAAACTGAACCAAGCCATTTCACAGCTATTGTTTAATTGTTTTTCAGGTTTTCACAGGGACAAAGCACAGGGTAAGATAAGATTTCCTGAGACTTGAAGATAGTATTTAAATATAGGGCAGAAGAAGTTGCTTGGACTTAGCTTCCAGTCACCTTGATTGTTCAACTGAAGAAAAAGATGTAATATAAAAACTGATAAGAGGGAACATACCAATGATCATAAGTAAATAAACAAATAATCAACCATTCAGTTCTGCCAACTTATGTGGGAACGACAATGGTGCTTAGAATTTGTGAACCCATTTGAATTTTCAATATTTCTACATAACTATGACCTAAAATGTGATCTGTTCTCCATAGAAAACTCCAGAATTACAGCACAGTTCTGTGCATATTTTCTGACAACTCATTAACTCCAGCTATTTCTGCAAAGGGTTTTAGCCTTGAATGTATTTAAGTTGGGCTTTTGATTGCTGATAAAAAGGGAAACAAAACAGTTGGAGAAGTGAACTTTTAATTCTAATACGTGTCAAGCTGCATGATTCAAAATACTTAAACATTCCAAATGTAGAAGTTGGAAACAATGAGAGAAACTGTCATGAGAGCCACTGGTCTTGCAACAGTTCTGAATCAGGCATTACTCAACCTGTGAAAAAGGGAATAAGTATATCACAGTGCATGAGAAAGCATTTAGCTAAAAGGCCTGGAATTGACTTTACTCAGTATGCTTGCTGGGATCCCATACTTCTCATAAATGCCTATTCATATCAGGTAGAGAGAACACGGAATATTAAAATTAAAAGCTATAATGTGATTATGCTTCTGTAAAATCTGCAGGGCTGCTTTCTCCTTTGAGATATTAGATAGGAAACAAACAGAGAGCTGTTTATGAGATTTAGAGCCTGCCAGATTCCAGAACGACTTATGCTAAAAAATGGAAAATAATCAAAAGAAAACCCTACGCATCCAAACCAACATGTTCTGTGTAACAGAAAACCCAGCTGATGGGCTCTCAACCACCCTACCTCAAGGCTTGGGAGATCAGCCAAGGTTTTGAAGACTTCCAGAACATCATCAGGGTGGAAGATGGTTCCTTCACCAAACACCCCCCAACCCACAGATGTACAATGGCTGGTGTGGGTCTTCCGGGCTGTGTGGCCATGTCTGAAGGGGGGAGGATTGGGGGTGTGTGG